TCTCTCTCTCTCTCTCTCTCTCTCTAGAGCATTTTTCACATTGAATGTCTCAACACTGGGAATTTCTTTGTCGCGGAATTCGGACGTAAGCGAGCGAGCTGTGAGAATTTCTAAAACTTTCTGTCCACAAGTGTTTGGCTTCTTACACTCGCTCGAGCAAACAACTTCTTCGACAAATAATGTACAAATTTCAAGCACGTAGAATCATTGCACGTATAAGGACGGATTGATCGATAGGAAATTGAGGGTTCGCACGAAGTTCGTCCTACATCGATGAAACACATCGCGAATTATTTTCGAGAGATTCTTCTCTTGTATCTCGGAACGTTTCTCCCTCGTCGTTTTATCGAAACATCACATTCCCAACATATGGGAATAGCACGGAATCGTTCAAGTCTCTGCGCAAGTGCCTCGTGATTCTTCCTCACATCCTCGAACGCGTCACAAGATACGATATTGCGCGAGGAACGTGTAGACGATTATCCAAAGGATCAGCGCGACGATCACAGAGACAAGGAAGATGGTTTTGAGGAAGTGCCAAGGGCTCTCCATCCTCGATTCCGCGCGGCTTGTCCAGCTCTTGCAGCCGCCGTTTCTGCATGGGATAGTTCCTGGTTGCACGGGGGTCGAGGTCGCGACGGTGTTCGTCGGTAGCGTCACTTTCACCTCGCCTAATTCCGTCTCCTCTCCGTTCTGAATCTCTGCCTTCGTCAGCTCGAACCTCGACGGACTCTCCATCTGAAATTAATATCGGATAGCGAGTGAATACCGAAATCAGTAAGTAAGTCGCTGCAACAACTTTTCTGTTGGATCAATGTTATCAGTCGTGTTATCGGTGGCTTGTGTTTGTCACCAGATTGCAATTAATGTTATCTCTGAGTCAGTCTTGCGGCCTTAATTTGATTTCTCTCTGTTCTCGGCTGTCCGACGAAGACGTTAAACTCTTTCGTGAATTTACGCGAGGGAGAGCTTGTAACGAAAGGAAGCTTATAAAAGACTGGCGAGGAAGAAGCAAGAATGCAAAACATGCGGAGATATTTTCGAGATTAGGTGAATACGTGTATAGATGGAAAGGAATTTAATTTAATTTAATTTAATTTGTGCATACAATGTGTCCTGCAATGTGGCTCGGTTGCGCGAATAGTTTATAGATAGATATTTATATAGAGAATTGTATAGATATTTTAGTCGCCTAGTTGCTTTCAGAATGAATTATGCGACTCGTGCAAACGTTCGGCTTGGAAATCGACACAGAGAAACGAAAGGAAAGAGTTCTGCACCGTTTTGAAACGAAGAAAGAGGCACTAACACGATAGCTAATTCTTTACTTCAACTCGAATAAACTGTAATGTGGTTTTAGTAGTAAGATTAAGTCAAACCACAGTTTCCTATTTAAAGAAGAAAAAGTGGCTTGTAGTCTACTAACTTACTAACTGGAACACGTTGGAGTATTTTTATCCGTGAATAACGGTTAACCGAAATGTATGTTAATGGACTAGGTCCCCATCTTTCGAACAGAGAGTGTCAAAAAAAAAAAAAAAAAAAGAAAAAAGAAAAAAAAAACGAGGAAAAGAAGAAGGACCGGTCGTTGACGACTGTAAAATATTCGTCGCGAGAATTTCTGATAAATCGAACGAGCGTGAAATGCAACCAACGTATCGATGCGGCCACTCCAAATTATTGATTATCTCGCAATTGCACTCGATTGTCCGGCGCGGAACGTGTCTTCAGTGATTCTTGTCGACAAGTATTGTTTCTTCAAGTTCTTTCGATTTTCGCAACGAGACATGTGCTCAAAGGAAAAGGAAGCAGAGGGGAAGGAAAAGGAGAAAGAAGGCCCTTTCGAGATTGCAAAGATTCTTTTCGAAAATGAAAATCACACGAAACTGGCGAAAGAGGGAAAGGAGGAAAACACAATCGATCGAAGGCCAACGGGTGAACGTTCTGAAAAATGTCTGAAAGGTGAAAGGGGAAGGAGTGGGAACGTTACATGCGTCTCTGGAATCCGAATCTTGGGGGGGAATGGGTTTTGCTCAGGCATTGGTCCCGTCCCATATACCAAACCCATCATACTGCTAACCTGGTCCAAGTATGGATAATCCCATATGGATCCGGGGGATGGCACGATCACCATCTGTCAATGATATCATTATATACATGGTGATCCATTTCAATCTGTAAATATAATTATTTACAGAGCTGTTTGTTTGCTACATGATATAAAACATAATTTCAAGTAAGTTGTATTAGCAAAATTAATAAATAATTTTACGAAATATAATCTTTGACGGGGTACCCTATGCATAAATTTTCAGATGCACTTTTCTATTTATTTAGTGAGTCATGAAAATCTATATCTATATAATATAATTATTGGCAATTAAAAGCGAAGTCTTGTATCGTTTTCGTTCGTATTTCTCTTTCGTCGCGTTACGAACATTTGTGCAGTCGCAAATAACTTTCACTCGACTATTACAACGATCAGAGATCCTCGAGTGGATGAACGAAGCGCGAGTGAATAATAACGCAGGAATTGAACGTAATGCATATTTTCGAAGCAAGCACGGAAGGTCGTATAAAAATTGACCAGTTCAATGATTCATGAATTCCATGTGACTTTATTGAGGTCGTATCTGACGGCGTTAAGTGTATAAATTATTCACATTTATGATAATTACTTGTATGACATTTTTTACAAGGAAAATCAAGCGTAAAATTACGATGTAAATACGCAAGTTTTTATGAAAAAAAAAAAGATGATAAAATTAGACACTCACGTTATCAAGCAAGTATTCATACTTCCTGGTGTGACAGTCCCCATCGTCGTTCATATTTTAGTCAATGGGATATGATTAGACATTCGTGGATCACTGATAATTATGAAAAATGCCATCTGACGAAAAATTCGAAAACATTCAACTAATTGACGTATAACTGTTAAACGGAGAAGACACGTTTCTTGAACGTGTAACCAGCAAACCAGACGAGGAAGGTTGTAGTTTATTTGCGTGCAACACCGAAGGAACTGACCAGTTACGCTAAGCGGGGACCATTATCAGGCTTTATCAATCCCGACCCCTGATCTTTCGTTATCAAACCGCTACCGTGGTGTAAATGTCAACGAAACACAGCTAATCAAATCGTAAATCGAGGAAATTCGATCCCTGTGACATACCTTTCAGGCGACATGATAAATTAAAGAAAGTAATTGTTTTATGATTTTCTCTTAACTTAACTTAAGCGAGTTAAATTTTTACGTTCTTCTCTGTAATTAATTTATTACCTTTGTAGAACTGTCAGCAAATTGAAATTTAACATTCTCTTCTATGTTTATTTAATCTATCTTTTTCTTTAACACGCCAAAATATTAAATATATTTTTAGACACGCAAGTAATAATTATTTAACTGCGTAGCCACTTGCCACCTTTAAATTAAATAAAATGATTAATTTTAAATATTGATTTTTTGAGTAATAAAGTTTGAAGGAGCATAGATCAGAGTATGGTGCAACGATCTTTAGGGATTACAAAATGTTTGCGAATAATCACGGTGAGATGAAGCATCGAGAAGATAGAGTATGGAAAGTCATTCCAGAATAGGAGAATCGTTACGTGTGCAAATGCGCAACAGGTCGAGGATGCACCAGCATAATGATAAGTAAGATACCTTGCGTAACCTGGCGAGGCTCATGTTTTCAACAGGTAGTCAAAAGCCTCGAGAATCGAAGAGGAGAACCATTTTATGGAACAGACACTGCGATCGATCACATTGGAAATTTAACCCTAATAGAAACGTGTTGCTTGACACACTGGTAACGAACGGATTGAAGTTTGTCGAAGGATAATTCGTAAATTTTATTAATTTGTTATTTTCTTTTCTTTTTTTTTTTTTTTTTTTCTTTTCGTTCTGTCGTGTTTACCAATCGATCTTCCTCGTTTCTCAATAATCAGCCACGCTGGTTCAATGAACTCTGATGACCAATTTCATTGAAAACGAGATTTCGAGCAGGTGAAAGTATGATAAGCTGTGGAAGGAATCGAAAGCCGAGCTGGTTCACAAAGTCTCGAGACTACTTTGCTCAAATGACAAAAAACGAGCAAGTTTGTCGAATGTTTTTTTCGCGAATCGTGAACATGCTCACGTACGTACATAATTTTGTACATACAGCTTGTTAATTACAGAGAGATAATCTTAAAATTACATCGATATCCTCTTTCACGAGCTGTATTTATTATCGCGCATATTTCCAATTACGTGACGTCTGTCCAAGGTTATTCGTACACTGAAACGTATAAGACACGGTCAAGAACAAGCTTTTTTTTGCAAAAATATTGTTACCACTGTGGTTACAAAAAAATAGTTTTGAATATACGACTCGTATTGACAAATTCACTTGCGCGTATTTAATTAAACAACACGTTAGAAGTACTTTTTTTATTTTCTTGGATTCTTCGAAGAAATATTACTGAAATATCTGATTAAATCAAGAAAGATTCGAGATTGGGAAAGATTTAGATTTGTTCCATGGTATACACACACGTGTGCTCACCTGTTGAGGATGCCAAGTGTGCTGAAAGAAACTCTTGAAACACCTCATGCTTGATGTGACATTCCTTTCCATTTGCCAATCACCGCATTATCACGATCGTGTAATCTGTTGGTTATTATTGGTCCATTCTTCTCAATCTATTCTATGATTTAAGAGTCACTCTTGGCCAATACATGACTCTAGATCCACACAATCAGGCCACTCATGTTATCTCCAATTACATTCGCACAGAATACCGCGAGAAAGTCAAACGTCAAACTTCCCGACATTTGTCAATTATGATAAAATAGATTATGATGATTGATAGCGAATTGAATGAACGAACGAAGATATTTTCAACAATGACGGATGGGTATAAAATGCAGTCGCATTCACACGAGAGAGATCGCAGGCGAAAGTTTTGAAGCGCACACGTCGGTGCGCACTCGACAACTAATGAAGTTTGAGCCGATAGCGGTGGAACTTGTACGAGACGAGGTAACGTGTCGTCTGTTAAAGCATCGTACGCTCATTGCCCGTGACATGCAGCAAAACGACGAAAAATTGTCCCATTAAGTTTTCGCCAGATAACGTCAGGAATGTTATAAAATATTATTTAAGCTAATAGATTCCTGGTAAGGTCAAAATGTGCGAAAATATTTCGAAAACATTTCGAAAACTGAATATATTCATTTCAGTGTATAGCATATCCATTTCCATGCGTTAGATTTTTATTTATTGTATAAACTTATTGTACTTGCAAATACACGAAGATAAGATAGAGTTCTTTTATTTTCATCGAAGCGTATTGCTTATAATTTTGAATAAATATAAATATGAATGCTAAAGGAAACGAACGATTAAATAGATGATTCGGGATGTAACATTTGGTAAAGATTATTTTTTAATTTCGAAACTAGCGAATGTAGGTTGAGATATCTCTTGCTCGTTTTGAAACTCCACTTTGTCTATGGCTGACTGAGGACTTCCGGTGTAACGTAGCCAATTTTTCCTAAAAAGAAAATACATCAAGTAAGGACAGTCAATTAACACATTAAAATTACTGATCAACGATGTGTCAATGTATCTGTTAAAATATTGCAAACTTACATCTCTTCCACTTTGCTTTTCGACCCCTCGAGACGACCAACAACTGTACCTTTATCGGTGTTCATACACCACCCTTTTAAATCCAACTCGGTCCCGCGTTTTTGGGTGTACTGTATCACAAGTGACAAATTGTTGGAAATTATTTCTGGTCCGTTAACAGAAAACTGATTCACCAATTTACACGTACACAATCATGAACATACGTGTTACATGTATTAGGCAAATATCTAAAAAATTTTCTATTTTGGAATTTAAAAAAAAAATTCAGATACGTTTCATTTCTGGCTTTGAAGTACCGATGTAGCAACGTAGTAACTGTTTCACTTGCCAGATGTCACTTCTTTGCCAAACAAACCGTGAAACTTGCAACGTTTTTCCTCGTAATTTACGTTAGTTATTAACTGTTAGTTTATACGATAAATTTTACTTACCTTTCTAAAGAACACGCCTTTAAAAAGAGAAACGTAGAATCAGTATCATTGCCAGTCTGTTACAGGGAAATAGTCACTTACCTTGCACTCTTCCATGAACCTCAAAGTCGACGCCGACTAATTTTGACATTGTTGGATTTGTATTTAACGTTGTTGTCACTGATAAAGATGGTAATACGACAAGAAGGCGGAGAATAATCTTAAGCTCCAACTTGGATAAAATTCGATTATTATTTGGAGAAAAATCCGAATTTGCGTATGTAGTTTCGTGACGTATTCGACTAGATGTCGCCAGTCGAGATTCTATCAGCTGTTCCGGCTGATTAATAGCGGTATCCTTGGAAACCACTCTTGATATGCGTTTCAGAGAGAATTAAACTTAATTTGAATTTTAAGTAGAGTTGATACAGGCGCAGTTCATATTTTTTAATCTATATTACGTTCAATTTAAATCAATCCCGTCGTTAAAAACACGATTATGTAGTGAGACGAACAATAACAGTAAAAGAGGAACGTATTTTTAAATATCACGTTTAGATTAGAAAAGTGTTGTAAATACTTACGTCAATTTGTTCTTTTACTGTATCTTACAATCTCCTACGCTACGATTATTTAAAAAATCAAACAGATTCAAACAGACTAATTTAACTTACGTGGAACGGTAACAGATATCACTTACAATTAGGAAAAGCAATCGCCACAACAATTCAAATTCAAAAGTCAAATTCTATTCGGACATGTGTTTGGCTGATCGGTGGCTCGTATCGGCGCTGCCATTGGTCGGCGTCCCGAAGCGCGCGCACCAGCGTAGCAGCGAAAAAGTCGCCAAGTACAGAGGTGTATAAGTCGTCCCCACCTCGGTGCTCACGTCCAGTCTCAAACCAACAGCCAACACGTAGTGGATCTGTTTTTCGCGGTGTTTCCCATCGGTGCGTGCGATTATCTTCGACGAGACGTTAACGAAAGCCTTCTCTTCTCACCGTCGGTCCGAAGCAATCGATCGATCGCGTCATCAGTATGTGCCGCATATCTCGTTTTACGTGCGGCTATCTCCTTGTTTATCTTTGAAACTCTTGGAGCACGGCGATTCTGCGCTATGGTAGACAATCGTCGTACACTCGATTCGCACAGGCCGTCTCGATAAAAGCGTTCGATTGACAGAAAAGGAAGAAGGGTTGTCCCGTTGACGCGAGATCGCCGATCGTCGCCGCGCAATCGATACGAGTATACGTGGTAGAAACGCGACAACCATCCGTACGCCTGTGTACGAGCACGCGAAAAACACCAGCTTCGTGTCAGTCGATGAGGTTAGGCTGGCGTATTTACGCAACGAAAATTTGTGTCGTCGGCGTACGGGCACGCGATGCGGCTTTGACAGCTCGTTCTATCGTTGCTGCTGTTATATCGTTCGTCACTACACGTCACAGGACAGAATACTTGTGTACAGTGCTTAATAAGGGTAGCGCAGAATTCGTCGTTCCCGTCGTCGTCCTCGGTGGCGACTTTGACAGATTGCCTATCGGAGAAGTGAGGTTAATTCGGAAGGTGTGCGGTTGTGCGTGTGCATCAGTGTACACGGAAGAACAACGCGACGGTAATATACGATGACGGCGATGTTAGTATCTGTGGCGGAACTGTCGAACATTTTCTTCGTGCTCGCAGTCTCGATATGCTTCTGCGGCGTTTTCTTGTTTATTATCAGGTATTTGTATATCGAATATCGCGTATCGTCGGTTCATACCGGAGGAGTGACGCGACTAGGGATGGTCGGTCAATCTTCGGAATACATACATATTTGAAGTAAAAACATCGAAGTAGAAACTTTTTAATTGTATCCAATTGCGTGTGTAACTTTTCCTTTGTAAAGTATCAGTATCCAATATCAGCGGTTAAACCCTTTATTTTGCTCAACCTTTTTGATAACTTTGGTTATAAAATTGAGCAACGTTGTGAAATAACTCTTGATATACGTTGCAGTGTATTTTGAATATATTACTTTGGCCGTATCAGTGAATGCCTTGGAAGATATCTTAAAAGCGACATTTCTGAGAATGTGTCACTCTTCTAGTAAACCGATGATATCGTGCGTTCTTTCTTTCTTTTCTCCAGTTATATGTGTGTGTCTGTGTGTATGCTTTGAAACGAAATGACGTCCGATTAATATTTTTTTTTCTTACCTTGGCACCCTTGCACGCATTGAAAAATGAAACCAACATTACTGTTGGCCTTTTGATGGCGGCTAAGATTGTAAATATTCGAAAGAACGTCGGATATAGTCAGAATAAGTAAGATACACGGATTAAATTTTTATTCCTCCGTTCGACAAATATTTGCTCGGTGTTGCTTCAGGGAAATCAATTCTTTTGTACTCGCCTGACTTTTGTCAGAATTTTTCGAGGCTCGATGGAGGTCAAATTTCCTCACGTCTACACAATTAACAAAAAAAGAAAAAAGAAAAAAGAAACTTTTCTGAATTTTCTCTTCTTTTGCTCATCAACGTTGACTAAAAAATATTCTATGACTAATAGCAAATCTTTTATGTCTAATGAATATTTTAATTTTCTATTAATCTACACGATTAATAAAAAAAAAAAAGAAAAAAGAAACTTTTTTGAATTTTCTCTTCTTTCGCTCATCAATGTTGACTAAAAAATATTCTATGACTAATAGCAAATCTTTTATGTCTAATGAGTCTACACGATTAACAAAAAAAAAAGAAGAAAAAAGAAACATTTCTGAATTTTCTCTTCTTTTGCTCATCAACTTTGATTAAAAAATATTCTATGATTAATAGCAAATCTTTTATGTCTAATGAGTCTACACGATTAAAAAAAAAAGAA